TATTTATTTTTTATTTATTTATTTTTTCAGTACCAGGGATTAAATTTAGGACCTTGCGCTTGCCAGGCAAGCACTTATTCTACTGAGCTATCTTCCCAAAAATTGTTTCTAATAAAGACAAACAGTAACTACTTGCATGAGAACTTAAAACTAATCACATTTTTCTCCTATCAATAGCCACCAAGAATGTAACTACAGGCCTAGACAAATTTGCCCAAAATATTGTCTTCCCTCAAGACCAGAAAGACTAGCAGCAGTGGCCAAACAACAATGTAGGGGACTAGATCCCTAACAAATAAAACAAGGTGCTATGTTTGTCCCTTAAAATAACTTCTTCCCTTGTCAATAGGTCCATAATAATTTTTTAAAAAGCAAGCAAGCAAACAAACAAAAAAGCACAGCACAAAAACTGGTTTACCAGCCAGGAATGGGGGCACACACACCTATAATCTCAGCACTCATGAGGTTAAGGTGGATTGCTGCAAGTTTGAGAACAGCCTGAGCTACACAGTGAGTTAAAGTCCAGCCTGAAATATAGTGAGACCTTGTCTCAAAAACAAACAAACACAAAAATAAAAAAAAATCTGGCTGACTATGCTTCCAAAATCCATTTTTAAAAAAAGAAACTAAGTCATAGATGTCCTTGGAAAATATCTAGAATCTTGCAGATACAGGAAGGGTATGTGTCCCCATGTGGATTGTCTGACTAATGGCAAGTCTGTCACAAGCTGATTGGCAGCCCCCAACAGTGGCCATTCTGCCCATGCTTTCTGTTCAGAGAGATCAGAACAGTCTTTGGCATCTGGCATATAACTACTGATCAAGAAAAAGAATGCAAAGCCATGTATATTCACTAGGGAGGGATGGCAGGGTCACATTTATTCTCTTGTCCAGTGTTCACTCCTGCTTGTCTAGTGTTGGTTCCTTTCTGCAAATATGCAGTATCCAAATGGTAACTGCTTAAAGGGATATAATCTGCCTTGACGTTCCAGGGGCAGGCCATATTGACGACATCATGCTAGTCAGACTTGGTTCATGGAGTGTCAAGCATTCTGGGGTTTCCTGGCAGGACATGTGTGTATCAGGGAAGAGGATGTGAACCTCCAAACTTTAATGTTTGGCCAAGAATGAGATCTTTTATGTCTAGTGATATGGATATGAAAGAACATTCGCCTTTTGTCCTCAAAACAGACAAATTGCACCTTCTCTCCTGCAGAAGAGAAATTCTCAAGTGGCCCCTACCTCCTGCTGACCCTTGACCCTGGATGAGCTGGCCTTCTGAATAGACAGAGAAGTGAGAGGAAGTCACTTTTGAGATGAGGCCACAAAGAGGCTATGCATGTGTACTGCATGTGCCCCTTCTTGCTCACTCTCAGGGACACCACCTGCCATGTCCTAAACTGCCCTATGGAGAGGTCTTTGGTAAGTTGGCCATGGGAAGCTGAAGCCCTTAGTCCAGTGTCGTTAGAGGAGCAACTCCTTCCAGTATCTGAGTGAGCAGGCTTGTGAGTATATGGTCACAGAGAAGCCTCTAGAGCAGCTCTGGCAGACATTCTGGCTATACCTTGACTTGTGACAGACTTTGTGGCAAAGGCACAGAGCCATGTCCTGACCCAAGAGATGGGAGAAAATAAATATTCTGGGTTGCTAAATTTTGTGTTCATTTGGGATGTAGAATGGTACACAAGTAGTCTTCTGCCATTAAGTGGGAGTCTCTCAGTGTCTTTGGTGTTTAGAGGTTGCCTATCTCATCTTTCATATTGCCACAACTAATTTGTTGGGTAGCTTGAATGTAAATTGATTGATTGATTGATTGACTGATTGATTGTAGTACTGGGGATTGAACCCAGGGAGTGCTGAGCTATCCCTCAAGCTCTTTTTTTTTTTTTTAAAAAAAAATGTATTTAGTACAGGGTCTACAGGGTCCCACTACACAAATTGGACTTGAAATGATCCTCTTGTTTATAGCCTCCCAAGTGCTGGAATTACAGGCCTGCACCACCATGCCCAGTCTCAATGAACCTTTGGGGCAGGGCCAGCACAGTATGCTGGGGATCAAACCCTGGTTGCTTCATCTGCATAAATCAAACTCTTTTTTGTTTGTCATTTTGAGACAGGATTTGTGGGATTGCCCAGGCTGGCCTTGAAATTGACATTCTTTTTTTTTTTTTGCAGTACCGGTGATTGAACTCAGGACCTTGCGCTTGTCAGGCAAGCACTTAATTTTACTGAGCTATCTCCCTGGCACAAAACTGACATTCTTTCACCTCAGTCTTTTTTTGTTTTTCAGGACCAGGAATCAAACTCTGGACCTTGTGCTTGCCATGTAGGTGCTTATACTGCTGAGCTATATCCTCAGCCCATCTCAGCTTCTTGTCTAGCTGAGACTACATGTATACACCACCACACCTAGCTGATTCTGAGTTCTAAATCAGGTACATAGAGCACAGTGAAGGCTCTGCAGGCTGCCCCAATGTTCTAGAAGACCTGATGTGTCATGTGAATGCAAACACCAAGAGGCCCCAGGTTGTAGACTAAAGCTAGGGCTTCTGCCATGCAGGATTACACACCTTGCAAGGAGGGCTGTGTGCCACAGACCCTGTAGGAACTGAGATACTACTGGACCTTACATGACAAGAGACTGAAGCTGCCCCTCTGACTCATGAAATCACTGTTTCCAGTATGAGTGGGTAGATTACCAATGTAATGTGAAGAAAACAATACACTGTTTTTCCTGATTTTCCACAGTGTTTTTTTTTTTTCACAACTGGGATTGAATTCAAGCACTTCCGCATGCCAGACAAGCGCTTATTCTACTGAGATATCTCCCCAGTCCCTTTACAGTGTTCTTTTTACCTGGTGTGATAGCACATATTTATAATCCCAGCCTTCTTTAGGCTGAGGTAGGAGGATCTCAAATTCAAGACCAGCATGGACTACATAGCAAGACTTTTGTCTCATAAAATAATAAAAAATAAAAAAAAAAGGTTTCATCTTTTTAGGTATTCTAGGGGGTGCTGGATGTAATCCACAAGCAATTAATTAAGTTTTTTTGTTTTGTTTTGTTTTTTGTGCAGGGTCTCACTATGCAGTCCAGACTCATAGTGCTCTTCCTGATTTCTGCCTCCCTAGTGTTAGGATTACAAGCACCTGACCCCATGCCCGGACTCTGCCATCTCACCTGGCTAGTAGTACTAGTAATCCTGACTCATAGAAATGCCATTTCAGAAGCTCAGGTAAATTTCATTAAGTCCCTCAAGGACTGGGCTAGTCTACTACTGTGTAATTCCCCCCATTCTACAACTTTTTCCAATTCCAACCCAAAGATGGGACCCCTGTCTGCAGTCTCCTGTCAGAATTCCTGTTCAGGACACTATCTTTTCAGCTTCCTTTTCTAGAACCCAGTAATCCCTGAGTGAAAATGACCCTAAATGTGTAAAGGGTTAATAGAGTTTTGTGCCTTGTGAAAAATTATAAAAACCCCTTGTGCTTCCTGTTATCTGCTCTAAGAAATGTGTTCTCCCTTTCGGCTCAAGGCTGTTCAACAATAAATAACTGTTTCTTGTCAAGGCAGCAAGCTAACACAAACTCCCTCCCCAACCATCTTCTGTAACATAGTCAGCTTAAGATGTACCTTATAAAAATATGCACTTATCACTAAGCTGTGAAAGACCTTTTAGTTATGAACAGTTTGCAGCTGTGTCAAATGAATGCAGTTTCTGTTGTTATGTACTAGATAACAAGTTTGCTTACCAAACTGGATGTGATTTCTGTTATAAATACCCCCTTGCTACCTACGTTTGGGGCTGATCAGCCTTCTCCTGCAAGAGAAGTGGCTGATGGACCTGAGCTCAGTAAATAAAAGGCTCTATTCAAATTTCTATCTGGCTGATCTGGTTCCTATGCAGAGTTGACCCATAACAAATGTTACACTAACATTCCTTAGTTCCCTTTTTCTTCTGATTGTTGGCTTTATATTTTACTACTAAAGTACCACTTTCATGCCATAAATAAAACTTTCTTTTTCTCTCTTTTCTTTCTTTTTTCTAATCTGGTATCGCATGGACAATGAGTTCAGAATTCTTTTTCCTTATTGGGGATGGAATTTAGGACCCCATAAATGGCAAGCAATTTAAGTAACTATCGCAGAGCTACAATCCTAGCCCTTTAATTTACCATAGTATTTATTTGTGCTATTTTGAAACAGGAGCTTACTAACTTGCCCTGGATGGGCTCAAATTTACAATCCTACTGCCTAAACCTCTAGCTAGGATTACAGGTGTGTGTCACCGCGCCCAACATTATTAGTTTTAAGAATTGAAGGACTAAACAGATTTTTTTTTTTTTTTTTTTTTTTTTTTTAATTTTGGTACAGGGGACAATCCCCGGGGAATGAACTCAGGTCCTCGGGATTGAACTCAGCACCCTGCGTTTGCCAGGAAAGCGCTTATTCTACTGAGCTATCTCCCCGGCCCTCAACAGAATGGTAGACTTTAACCTGGATGGCGCCAGGCCACCCCATTGCCCGCCCCGACCTCCAGGCGATGTCTCACCTGAGCTGCTGTCCTCGCGGAAACATCTTCATCATCTTTGTGTATTCAGCGTTCCTAACCCTGTTGAAGTTTTACATGGTGACAAACGCTTGTGCAACAATTCCTACTCTGTTTTTGTTTTTTATTACCAGTCCTTCTGCACCCTGGCTTTTAAAAATTCAGCAGGAGCCCGACACCGACAGCGGGAAACCCTCCCCCCTCTATGCCTCAGGTGAACTTCTAGTCAGCCCGCAGCTCCGCGTCTGCCTTTGGTCAAGTTGCCCTGGCAACCCGCGGCTCTCGCAGTAACCAACGTCTCCTGGAGATGACGCCACGGCCTAGCTCTCAGGCTGGCACCGCCTCCGCGCGGTAGCCTCTTGCTATTGGCCGTTGGGAGAACGTGAGGCAGTTCTTGCCCAATGGGAGGCGCAGCTTGCCCGAAGGCGGGACTGGCGCGTACCTGAAGCAGGGGGCCTGCCGGAAGCGAGCCTAGGCTGTAGGGTTTGTCGCACGCCGGTGAGTGCAGGTAGGTGTGTGGGCCGTAGCCGGTGCCAGGCACACTGGTGTAGGGTGGAGGGTGTTGAGGAGCCTGCGAATTAGGTGGCGTTGCGCGTGTCGGCGGCTGTGGCTGCTCCACGTGGGTGGGCGGAGTCCTTTCTGTGGCGCGCAGGCGGCCCCAGGAAGGCGAGGTCGCGTAGTCTGTTTTTGGCTGGACTGTGCTCAGGAGCTGAGATATCCCGGGCTCTAGGTGCGGGGGGCAAGCACTCTTAACCCACGCTGTGGCATCTCTCTTCTCTATAGAGTGGGTTAGCACTTGGAGCCCTCGTTACCTGCTGAGGCTTTTTGCTGCTTGATTTGGACGGTAAGCACTCTCTGCGTTTCCTTTCCCTGTTCCATTTCATCCATTCCTTCGTTCTTTTACCCAGAAAGCTGTCCTTTGGTTTTCTCTCGTGTGTAGGAATTATTCTAAGAGCAGTGAACCGTGTAGCAGTGAATGTGTATAAGGGACATCGATCTAATCAAGTGAGCTTGCATGAAGACAGGCAGATAATAAGATCGCATATAGAGTGATAAGTGCCAGGGAGAGTCGAGGCATGGTGGCACATGTAATCCAGCACTAGAAAGGCAGAAAACAGGAGGATCATTTCAAGTCCAAGCTGTGTAGTAACACCCTGTACCAAATACATTTAAAAATAAATAAGTAAAAATAAAAGAAGAACAACAGAAAGGAACCACAAAACAGAACAAGAAATTAAACAGAGAGGAAAAGTAGGGAACCTACAGCAGGAAAATAACATGATAAAAAGAAAGGGTACTAGATTCCAGAATGCTGTTTAGGCATACCTGGAGACACAGGAAGTAGTTGATGCTTGGCGTTGGGATGATGGTGGGCTCAGAGCAACTGTGGTGACCAGATTCATTTCGGCCTTGCAGAGGAGAGGGTGGAAGAAGTTGTCTGAAAGGCCACTAACCCACATGAGTAGTTCAGAGTGTGGCCTAGGACTGGAGGAGACCCACAGGTCAGATGTGGAAGCCACGATTCTGCTCCATCCACTAAGCTCTTGAGAGCTTTGGTAGCAGGGCCCAGATCCACCTTCAGAAGACCTTTGCTGGTGGTGCAGGATGTGCCCCTATAGGGCCTTCCCAGACCACAGCAGCAGTAATGTGGATGACCTGGGTGAGATGGGGCAGCTGGCACTGTGGGTGGTATTTTTACATTAAAAAATGTGAAGAAAAAAAGTGTTTGGTGGCTTTTTTGTAGGCTGACTTATCTTTTCAAGATCTTATGGAGATGCTTTCTAGCCCTGCAGATCTGCAGGTTTTCCTGGTTTTGCTAACTTGGCCTGAGCCATGATGGAAACTAGGTTTCTTGGCTTGGCAGTCTTTCTTGGGCTTGTCTCACCCTGCTTCATACCACTGGAATTGTCTGTTGGCTTTCTGAGGGCTATTTTTTTTTTCTTAAATTTTAAAGAGTAAAAATAATGACACAAAATTTCAAAACGATAGTAGCAGAGTAACAATGGGTAGTGCATTGCTTGTTATCTTCAAAGTAGTTGCTCAAATTATAAAATACGGGCAAAAATTGATCAAATGATATAAGCACAAACCTTTTCAGTGAACTCATAGATATCAGTAGTATAGCTAAATCAGTCTTGCATGTCTAAAACATATTGTGTGTGTATATATATATATATATATATATATATATATATACTTTTTTCCTTTCCTGTCCTAGTTTCTCTTTCCTTTTGAACAGTTTCTTTCCATTTCCCAATTGTAACTTTTGAATTTTACTTACTTTTTCAGCTTCTTACACTAGGTAGACAATGTAATGTTTAGACATGTGAGACTGATTTATTTCACTTATTAGTATAGTCTCAAATTGCATCCATTAACCATAAAAGTCTCAAGTTTATCCTTTATAGCCGAGTAGTATTCCACTGTATAAAATGTATCACATCTTTTAAATCCATTCCTTGGTTAATGAGCATTTGTCTTGTTTTCAAAATTTAGCTGTGAAAAATTGTGTTGTTATAAACATGACTGCACATATATCACTGTGGTCTGTTGTTTTTAATTCTTCTGGTAAAATACTCAAAAAGAGAATAGCTGGATTGAATGGAACCTTTAATCCTAGCTTTTTGGTTTTGTCTTTTTTTTTTTTTTTTCAGTACCAGGGATTGAACTCAGGACACTGTGCTTGCCAGGCAGGCGCTTAGTCTACTGAGCTATCTCCCTAGCCCTTAATCCAAGCTTTTTGAAGCATCTCCACATTGATTTCCATAGTGGTTGCACCAGTCTCCATTCAACAGTGGAGATGGGTTGTTCCCCCCTCCCCGTACCCCTCCAGCCTTTGTTATTGGTTGATTTCCTGATTGTGGCCATTCTTTCAGGGGTGAGATGGAATCTCGGTGTTGTTTTATCCTAGTGACCAATGATGTTGAATGTTTTTTCATATATTTATTTCCTATCTGTATTTCTTCATCTGAGAAGTGTATGTTACTACAGATATTCTAGGAAGAGACAGAAATGACCACAACTTCAAGAACTACAATGGAGAGCCAACAATATAGCTTAGTGGACTAAGCACCTGCTTAGGCAAGTGCAAGGACCAGGGCTTGATACCCGGTACCCCTTGCTGTACTGGTCCCGCACCCAGGCGCAATGAGCCAGCGAATGAGTCCAGGCATGGTGGCACATGTAATCCCAGCACCAGGGAGGCTGAAAACAGGAGGATCATTTCAAGTCCAAGCTGTGTAGTAACACCCTGTACCAAATACATTTAAAAATAAATAAGTAAAAATAAAAGAAGAACAACAGAAAGGAACCACAAAACAGAACAAGAAATTAAGCAGAGAGGAAAAGTACAGCAGGAAAATAACATGATAAAGATAGACCAATACATATTGGTTATAACCATCATGTAGAAGATGGCCATTTTTGGACTGTGTTTTTAAATTTGGGGAGTCTAATTTCTTTTAATTCTTTATATGTTCTAGATAGAAGTCCTTTGTCTGAGGGACTGTTAACATTTTTTTCCCACTCTGGGAATTGTGCTCTCACTATGTTGGTTATACATTTGATGTTCAAAAGCTTTTTAATAAGATGAGATCTCAGTTTTTGATTCTTTGAAGTATTTCCCTTGCAGTTTCAGTTTTGTTTATGAACTTACTCTGTCCACACCTATGTCTTTGAGATAGCTACTTTCTCTTCCAATAGAAGTGTTACTGTTTTAGTTAGATTTTTGATACTTTTTTTTTTTTTTATCCTTTTTAAAAATGTATTTGATTGTTACAGGGTCTCACTATGCAGCAAGGACTCATAGTGATCCTCCTGTTTTCAGCCTCCCCAGAGCTGGGATTCCAGGCATATGCCACACTCAGGGACTCTGTGGCCAGCTCAGCCTGCTCTGGGGGTGGGGCTGGCTCAGTGTGTGGTGCCAGGGATAGAACTGCTGTCCTTGTGCTTGCCTAAACAGGCACTTTAGTCTGCTGTTATCTCACTGGCCTCTTCATTTTGACTTTAGTACATGGTGGTGGACATGGATCTAACTTTAGTCTATGGCATGCATTTCTTCCACCACCACTTATTAAAAAGGCTTTCTTCCAGTGAGTATGTTTGGCCCCTTTGTCAAAGATTAGTTGGCTGAGTAAGTTTGTAGTTGTGTCTGTATCTTCTAGTCTGTTTTATTGATTCTCAGGTCTGCTTTTTGCCACTACCGTGCTGATTTTATATAGTAGTTTTGTAGAATAATTTCAAGTCAGAGATTGGTGATGCTTCCTGCCTTTCTTTTGTTTCTCAGGATTGCTTTTGCTATTCTAGGTCTCTTCTGGTTCCAGATGAATTTTAGGAATTTTTTCTCTAGGTCTGTGAGGTATACTTACAGATATTTTAATTGGGATTGCATTGCATCTGTACAACAATTTTGGGACTATGGTCATTTTCATAATGTTGATTCTTCCTATCCAGGGGCAAGGAATATCTTTCCATTTTCTGAAATCATCTTTGTTCTCTTAAAGTACTGTAATTTTCAGTGTATAAGTATTTTACTTCTTTTGTGAGATTGATTACTAAGTATTTATTTTTTTTAATGTTATTGTGAAAGGTGTGGTTTTCCTAATTACTTTCTCAGTATGTTCATTGTTTGTGTAGAGGAATGCTATTGATTTTTGTGTGTTGACTTTGTATCCTGCTACACTACTGAATTTGGTTATTAAATCAACAAGTCTCGGCTGGGGAGATGGCTCAGTAGAATAAGTGCTTGCCTAGTAAACGCAAGGGCCTGAGTTCAATCCCTGGTTCCACAAAAAACAAAAACAAAAACATGTCACTGCTAAATGGTAAAATTGAAAAGGCAAAGCACAGAGGATTTTGAAGACAATAAAATTATTCAATATGATGCTGTTAAAACAAAACAAGCCTCTTGGTGGAGTTTTGGGGGTCTTCCATGTAAGGTAATTGTTTATTTGGGCTTGTTCTTTTTTCCTGATGCAAGAATTTATTGCTATAAATTTCTGTCTTAAGACAGCTTTCATTGTATCCCACAGGTTCCAGTAAGTTGTATCTGCATTTTGATTGTAAATATTGTTTAATTTCTTCTTTTATTTCATCTGTGACCCATTGATTGTTCAGGAGGGTGTTATTTAATTTCCATGTATTTATGGAGTTTTTGCAGTTTCTTTTGTCAGTAATTTCCAGTTTCATTGTGCTATAGTCAGATAATATGCATGGGATAATTTCACTTTCTTTGCACTTACTTAAGCATGCTCTGTGTGCTCATACATGGTTTATTTTGGAGAAGTTCCATGTGCAGCTAAGAAGAGTGTGTATTCTGATGTTGTTGGGTGGAACACTGTATAAAGGTTTACTAAATCCATTTCTTTGCAAATTTTGTTTAGTTCTGCATTTCTGTGCCGATTTTTTTTTGCCTAGTTGATCTATCTCTTTGTGACAGTGGGACCTTAAAGTCCCTCATTACAATAATGTTATTGCTCATTTTATTTTATTAAAAAAATTTTTTTTTTA